GAAATTCTTATGAATTTTTGGAACCGGGAACCAGTAGGAACCGGAATCGGTAGAACCGGAACCGTATGTTGCTATTTCTCGAGGATCGGTTCTAACATTGAAGACACGACAAGAACCGGTAGGAACCGGGAATCGGGTAGAACCGGCGGTCCGGTTCGGTTTTTAATTTCGGCCAGATTCGGTTCCCGGGCCGAGTCCGGTTCGGGCCGGTTCCAGCCGGGTCGGTTCCTTTGCTCATCCCTACAAACTGTACTCCATCAAATGACCAGATATAAACCCAAACAACAATCCCAAACTCAAGAGTTTTTCAAACTCTATGGAATAAGCCTCAAAGGGACCAAAGCTCAATCAAATGGACCATCACACCAAATACTCATAGATCTAATGATGAAACACCATAAAACTTGAATATTTAATACTTACAAGGGCCCAAAAGTAGAATCAGAGTTGAATACTTCAGTTGCAAGGCTTCAAACATCAAACTTTCTTGATACCATCACTTTAAAGTAGGGGTGAGCGCGGTGCGGTTCGGTGCGGTTATTGGCCAAAACCTCACCACTAACCGCAAATGCGGTTAATCCATTTTCAAAACCGCAAATGCGGGAATCGGTAGAACCGCGGTTATTTTTGCGGTGCGGTTTTTTTTTTTGTGTTTCGGTTATTAACCGCATGGATTTGGTGCAGTTATTTTTTGTGGTTTTTAACCGTAGTTTAGAGTTCAAACGGTTTTAAGAGTTCAAACATATTACTTGTAATAATAAAAAACCATAAGGTATAATACAATTAACTTAAATTACAAAAGACTAATATCTTAAAAATATCAAATCACTAGTAGTTAACAATAAACATCTTAAAATTGTCAAATTTCACCATTTTCCAAAGTTAAACATAACAAAAAATCAACACTTTTGTCTCCTAGAATTTTATCCTTATTTCATCCATGAAACTTATCTTATTTTTAATATTTAATATATTAATAATTAATAAAAAAAATTTATATAATATATGCGGTGCGGTGCGTTTTTTTTGCGGTTTTTAAGAACTAATAACCGCACCACACCGCAAATTTGCGGTTTTTGAAAAACAGAAAACTTCACCATCGGTTTTTATTGCGGTTGCGGTTTATCGGTTGCTGTTTATACGGTTTTTGCGGTTAATTTTAGTTGCGGTGCGGTTTTTGCCCACCCCTACTTTAAAGTACCAAAGGCCACCAAATGAACACCAAAATAGATGAGAAGATAGGTGATGAGCTCAATCTATGAAAAGGGAGGCTAAGGTTATCTCCCAATGAGCTTTTGATGAGATGGAGGTTGCAGAATGACTAAAACATGCAGGTAAGGTCATTAAATACGAGAGAAACCTTAATTTTATGGGCTTAGGCTTAGGGGTGGCAAATCGAAACATCGTTTTGTATCTTTGTCCGAAACGACACGACACAACATGACAAGGTTTTATGTAACACAAACACGACATGACACAATTTCGTGTTTTTTAACTAACACGAAAACGAACCAATTAAAAAACGACAAACACGACATGACACGACAAAGATAACATAATATAACAATTAATTTATTTAATTAATATTTAATCATACATAACACGAAAAACACGACAAACAAATGCTAAATCGTGTCAATTTCGTGTCGATTTTAAACACGGACATGACACGACACGACACGACATCGTGTTTTTTATACTTGACACGAACACGAATTCAAATTTCAATTTCGTCCTAATTTCCTTTCATTTCGTGTCGTGTATTTTTGTCATGTCGTGTCATCAATTGTCACGCCTACTTGGGCTGAACAACTCACAACGTCGTGGCTGTCTTCTCAGCACGCCGTGGTGACGGGTTTCAATTATTTCATTCCAACTTCAAACAATAATAACTTTTTTCGTTTGAACTCCGTTTTCAGTGATCTTTTATATGCACGTGAAGGTATTAACAAGCCTCATAATTCTATCAAATTAATTTTGACTTAATAAATATCGAACTTAATTCATTAATACATGCGAAGAGTCTGAAATATCATTTTTCCTATTTTACCCTTTTGGCTCAAAAGCACGATTCAAGAGCTTAAATCACTTAACCAACATTATCAACATCTAATAAGATTCAAACTCAATCCCTTGAAGTCCGAGACCCTTACTTGATCTAATTACGATCTGATATTCCGAAATAAGAAACATCCGAAAACTTGATGTTATAATTTTGATTTGAAATTTTAAACGTTATATTTATCCATAAGCACCATGTCCCGAGACCACTTATCCTTTCAAAATATATGTTCCCTGCCCAATATTTCTCGCAAAAAAATAAATTTAAAAAAAATACCCAAATCCTCAAAGTCAACTCCAATTTTGGGAGACTCAAAGCCAAGCTCCCGTAATATACTTTTTTAGCAAGCGACTTCTCATTAATAAGTGTAATTTTAATTTTCAAGTATGACTTTGATATAAAAAGACCATAAACAACTCGACTCCAATTTTAATCTTTACCACCGTTAGCAAGGAGAGCTAAATTTAATTTTTAAGACAGCCAATCTGGTGGGGAAATTCGAATTAGGTATAGGGAAATTTGTATAACAAACAGGAATCGTTGTAAACATTTTCCTTGTTTGATATTTCGACCCTATATGCCTTGGGTATCACGAAATCCAAACTGGGATAATTCCTGATGTAGCAATTCAGATTTTAGGCATAAAATCTGAATCAATTTTGAGAAGATGAAGAGAGAGCGTTTTTCGTTTTTCTGTGTTTCAAACAAGAGTCGTTTTCCCTGATTTATCCAACAACGGATAAATCAAAACAGTTTTCATCTTTCAAGAATTACAAATTAGACCTTGTACAGTAGATTAGGGTTCAGTACTAACAATGTTTAGTAAATACAAGTGTGCACTCCCGCACCTCCTAACTTATATTATAACTAAAACATTATTCGTGAAACACTTGTTAAGTCCATTACACTAAAATATATTTGGTGATAAAATCACCAACACAATCCACTAATAAAAAGATGAAAGTATATCATAATTTTCTTTTTTTTGTTAATCCCTAATGATATTACACAAATAACAATTAAACGCTTAACTATCGTACTAATTTTTAGTGAAGCAAAATCAACATTCTATGAACCTTTTTGCATATTTAATACCAAAATCAAAGAATAGGAAGCACATCATCCCGTAACTAAGAACTCTCAATGATAACTTTTCAAAAGTATTATTGGCCCATTGACTATGATTTATTCTTGCATGCTAAAAATGAAGTTACAAAGCGTATCATTTGGAAGAGATAATACTTGAATGACCTTCTTATGTTCTATACTTTTCTACATTTCTTAAAAGAAAATACATTCACTAACAGCATGGACATGTATTTGTTTGAGTAGTTGGGGCCGACTTTATTTTAGTTAGGGTTACATTTTGTACTTTATCTATATAATACAACTAACAGTTTCAATTATACAGTGGAGGAGGCGGCGTTGTTATTCGATAATGGGTTACGCGGGGCGATTGAGGACATTGTGGTTTGTGGTGGCCCATTCTTTGGCGACTTACAGTGGCGACTTGCTTCCCTACCCATTCGGTTTGGTGGTTTGCGTTTATACTCGGCAGTAGAGGCTGCCTCATATGCTTTTGTTGCCTCAAGGGTCCAATATCAAGTATTGCAAGACCACATCTTACGGGATAGCGGCATTTATGGTATGGTTTCTGATTATTCTTGTGCCTTAGATTCTCTTCGTAACAAGCTTCCGGACATTGACCTTAGCAGTTTTACTACTAAGGACACCCCCCCCCCTAAATCCCAGAATACACTGGCGAGTGCCCTTTTTAATAAAACTATCCAAGATATGGAAGTGAATTTCAATATGACGGCTCGGCAGAAAGCAGTTTTCCAGTGTTTACGTGCACCACATGCTCAAGATTTTCTTCTAGCTATCCCTATAGATGGGCTTGGCCAACATATGTCTCCGGTGGAGTATCGTACCATCCTCAAACATCGACTGATGATTCCAATATTCCCGGCCGATGGGATATGTCCGATGTGCCGCAAGGCATGTTTGGACTCTTTCGACGAGCATGCAGTTCATTGCAAAGAACTCCCGGGGTTCAAATACAGGCACGGTATGGTTAGGGATGTTTTGGTCGACATATGTAAGTGTGCCGGGGTTTCCGCCAAGAAAAAGGCTCCTGTGAATTTCCTGACTGACCCGACAGAAGGAAGGTCAACCCTTAGACCGGCTAACATTTTGATTTTTGGATGGGTTGGAGGGAAACACGCATGTGTGGACCTTACAGGGGTATCCCCTCTCGTAAGCTTAAGGGTCGGGGGTTTCACGGCGGGACATACTGCATTAAAAGCCGCTACATGCAAGATCACCAAACATGAGAAACCGTGCATGAAAAATCAACACGCGTTCATACAATTTGCATTTGATACGTTTGGTTTCCTTACGCCGGATGCGGTGGAGCTTCTTAGTAGACTACAACGGATCATGCATAACAATGTTATATCCCCTAGATCTATGAATGTAGTCTTCAAAAGAATTGGCTTTACCATACAAAATGGCTTAGCGGCGCAACTTGTTGTCTGTTTGCATTCTCATTCGTTATATGATGATAACTAAAATGTTTTATTATGGAAATTATACTATTATTTTCAAGATCAGAAAAAATTTCCTCATGCATTGTCAATGGTAGAACACATTAATCAAACCACGGATCTTTATATATGATTCATTTTTGTTTACTCCTAACTAAATGCATAACATTGTTTCAAAACTATATACAAAATCCAAGACATCATGAACAAATATACACTCTTTCTCTCTTTCCATCTCTCTCTCTCTCTCTCTCTCTCTCTCTATATATATATATATATATATATATATATATATATATATATATATAGAGAGAGAGAGAGAGAGAGAGAGAGAGAGAGGATCTCTTAATTAGACTCAAGAAGCTTTCTTATCACCATACATATATAGACACATGGTAAAGACTAAATTTAGTGTTGGTGGTATGAAAGAAATTAGGACCATAGGCCGCCATGTCATTACCGGTCGGTGGTTCATGGTGTTCGCTTCTCTTCTCATCATGTCTGTCTCTGGAGCCACCTATATGTTCGGTTCATACTCCGGTGACGTAAAATCTTCCCTCGGATATGACCAAACCACCCTCAACCTGCTTAGCACCTTCAAGGACTTGGGTACCAACGTCGGGGTCATATCAGGTCTAATCAACGAAATCTCCCCTCCATGGGTAGTGCTCCTCATTGGCGCCACCATGAACTTCTCCGGCTACTTCATGATATGGCTCGCCGTCACCGGAAAAATTAGAAAACCGAGCCTCTGGCAAATGTGTTTGTACATTTGCATCGGTGCAAATTCGCAGACTTTTGCTAACACAGGAGCATTGGTTACTTGTGTCAAAAACTTTCCTGAAAGTAGAGGTGTTGTATTGGGGCTTTTGAAGGGTTATGTGGGTTTAAGTGGTGCGATTATTACACAGTTGTATCATGCGATTTATGGGCTTGATTCAAGGTCTTTAATCTTGTTCATCGGATGGCTTCCAGCCGCCGTTTCCATGGTGTTTCTTCGAACAGTTCGGATTATGAAGATTGTTCGTCAAACGAATGAACTCAGAATGTTTTACAAGTTTCTTTATATATCACTTGGGCTTGCAGGGTTTCTTATGGTTATTATTATAATCCAAAATAGTTTCAAGTTTTCTAAGCCTGAGTTTATCGGAAGTGCTTCCGTCGTCGTGATTCTGCTTTTTGCACCATTTTTAGTTGTGTTTAAAGAAGAGCTAAACCTATGGAAAGCTAACCAAGAAGTGGTTAACAGCATCAAGATTTCTCCGGTCAAAATAGTCACGGAGGCTCCGAACACAAACCAGCTTCCACCACCGTCGGAAAAGGAGGTTTCTTGCTGGAGGACTGTGTTTACGCCGCCGAGGAGAGGTGATGACTTCACCATACTACAAGCACTTTTCAGCATTGACATGTTGATTCTCTTCACCACCACCACCTTTGGCATAGGCGGAACCCTAACCGCAATCGACAACCTTGGCCAAATTGGGAGGTCATTAGGCTACCCAACCACCAGCATCACCACCTTCGTTTCACTCGTGAGTATCTGGAACTATCTGGGTCGGGTCAGTTCGGGTTTTCTCTCAGAAATCTTGCGAACCAGATACAAATTCCCACGTCCATTGATGCTCACTTTGGTGCTTTTTCTCTCATGCGTGGGCCATCTTTTAATCGCCTTCGGTGTACCCAATTCCCTCTACATTTCTTCAGTCATAATGGGTTTTTCCTTCGGAGCACAATGGCCGTTGATTTTTGCGATCATATCTGAACTATTCGGATTAAAATACTATTCCACTTTGTACAATCTTGGTGCCGGAGCAAGTCCGGTCGGATCATATATCCTCAACGTGGTGGTCGCCGGTCGTCTTTATGATAAAGAAGCTACACGTCAATTGAAAGCACAGGGAATAGTCAGAAAACACGGGGAAGATCTGGTTTGTAATGGCATCGAATGTTATAAAATGTCTTTTCTGATTATCACTGCAACAACACTGTTCGGATGTTTGATTTCACTTGTTTTAGTGATTCGTACAAAAAAGTTCTACCGCAGTGATATCTACAAGAAGTTTCGTGAGGCCACAGAAGTGTCGGAGATGGTGGTGCCGCCTTCAACCACCCCACCACCACCACCGGAAAGTAACATGATGGAGGAAGATAATAAATAAGGTAGATGTCATCAATCATCATAGTTTAATTAGGTAACTTACTAGACAAAGCTCTTAAATCTTTTTGTCACTTTTTCGTTTGAAAGATAGTTAATATATGGAAATGGGCCATATGTTAAATTTGTTAAAGAGAAATTAAAGCTCTCACTTTACAAGATCATGTGAAGTTTCTAATGTTTCCAAAGTATTCATTAGATTCGATTTGTGAATAGACAAATCAATTGTTGGTCAAAGCTATGTAATATTACTAAATTAAAAATACACGCGAGGATATAATATATATTCATAGAACGTCTAATTAATGAAGACTAGCTACGCTAGTAAAATAAAAATGATTGGTTTGTCAAATATATTAAAGGAGAGATTGTTTTACGAAGTTCATAAAGTGTCAGAAAAATAGCATAAAAACATAAAGTATGAAGAAAGTAAACCATAATAACTTACTTAATCAGTCATTATTAAACATATAAATAGAAAAAATGCACATGGGATGACATTGGATCTTACAATGCTATTTATTGTTTCCAATGACTCACTTTCACCAATTAATCTTCATCCTCCTAAACCTCAGGAAATACGCCACCCGCGGGACACAAGGCTCGTGGTAAGAGCCTTATTAATTTTTTACATAACGAGATGAAAAAAATGGGGCCATTGGTGATATAAATAGATTATACATATGGGAAAGGAAGATTCAAACTTCTTTATAGACTATAGTAAGAAAAAGTGTAGGGTAGGGATATAGATGATAGCTATAGAGAAGAGAGATATAGATATATATATATATCCTAGATATATATATAATATTATAATATATATATATCTATATATATATATATATATATATATCTAGTAGATAGATAGAGGGGGGGGGGGGGGGGGGGGGGGGGGGGGGGGGGGAGATAGGACATCGGATGGCTTATAGGGTTATAAATCGGGGGACTAAAAACACACAAAAAGTCACATAATTCCTCCAAACGCTTATAAGGAAAAACTAGACGAATAATCGCGCGTTGCGCGACGCATGGGTAAAAATATATTGTTAAAATAGTGAAAAAGAGATGTTTAAAATGGTTATTTATTGACATTAACGGGACATAATATTTTTACACGAATTTAGAGATAAATCTCAACTATTTTGAACAATATTATTCCATTGACATCAACTACATTCCTCATTAATAGAATTAATTAATTATCTATTTAGTAGTAGGGATAAAAAATGTTATGATTGATTATTTAAATTTTTTACTTATGGGATATTTTCTAATTTTCATAATAATGATCATTTAGAGATACAATTTATTTGTAGCTAAGGTTACATAATTTTTAATTGAGGGCTATTATCAGGAAAATTATTGTTCATTAATTTTAAAATAACCACTGATTATTATTAGTAAATTAAAGAAGACTTTTAAGAAGCATTTAATACTATTACTCAAATATAAAACATATATTAAATAATAATGTGATAAGATTGACAATTTGCATTTCAAAAAAGACTTTCATCGATAATATAAAATATCCATGATTTATATAATTTACCATTTATTATTATTAATAAGTGAAAGAAAACTTTTTAAAAAACACTTACTCTTATAATTAAAATGTTAAACATACACTAAAATATAAAGTGATAAGATAGACAATTTGCATTTTAAAAAAGACTTACATAGATAATATGGATAATATGACATATCCACGATTTTTAATTAATTATTTCTTTGAAGCAACACAAATATACAAACATATATACAATATCTAATTAAATACTATTTATATCACATTCCATCACATATGATCGATAATATGAATCTAATTTAATTTAATTAAAATTTTAACCACAACATACAATGATTGTCTTAAAAGAATACTTAAACCAAGATATATATATATATATATATATATATATATATATATATATATATAAAGATTAGTATATAGCAAACTTACAAATTAAAAACTTTAACATAATAACATGGCTCGAAAATGATCCAAAGCCCTCAAACCAACACAAAAACCTTTAAACTTGTTATCTTTGTGAATTTTGTATGTGATTTGTATTTGTGTTTCTACTAAAAGAGATTGACATTTTTATAGTAGATCATCCATTAATTGCTTATTAACATATTATATAGGTTATAAAACCTTTGAATAGTTAATCATTATTAAGAGACCATTGAGTGATATTCATTCAAATAGGAGGTTTCAAATGAATATGGTTTGAGTAAAAATATAAGTTGAATAGCCTTGGGAGTTTCAAATGCATGAGGTTCAAGGAAAAATGTTAGCTTTATAAGATATATAGATATAGATATAGATATAGATATAGATTCTAATATTTTCAACAATTTAAGAAAGATTTTTTGTGTATGGTCATGTGTCGGTTTAAGCTGGTTGTGAAATTTGGGGTCCAATTAGCAGAGTTAGATGCCGTTATTATGAGGGGCTCGACATCCATTTGTCTCCGTAGTAGCTCCGTCACTGCTTACGCTTAATGAATCAATTTCATAAAATTAATTTTCCAAATTTATGACGTATTTTAGGATGACAAACTATATGTTATTTAAGTTGAGGGGGCTTTAATTAGTAAAGGGTATATGTTATAAGAGGATGGTAAGTTGCTTAAAATAACAACATTTTTTCTTTTTTATGTGAGTATATTCGATACTCGTGTTAAGCTCGAGTGTGAGCATAATGAATTCTTATTGTAATAGATGTTAGTTTATGGAGCTTTAATCTTTTTATTTCAACGGTAAAGATATTATGTGCTTTGGTTTAGTTTTTATTGGAGCTTTAGTAAAAGTTACAATATGTGATTTGGTCCATTTAGCCTAATGATTCTCATTCCATACAAACATTGGATTTATACATATAGAGTATGGGCGCCGAGCTACAATGCAAAGCTAAGATATAAATATAAAACAAATACAATAAATGTTTAATATTCACTCGTAGTTCGATTGTGGAAGATCGAAAGTTCAAACCGGACTATATCCTAGAGGGTCAAGGGAGGCATTTGGTAAGATATCAACATAACGGAATGCAAACATGAACAACATTGATTGCCACTTTGTCACGAACAAAACGAATATCAATTTCAATTTCTTTAGTATATTTATGGAGAACTAGAGAGGAAGGGAAGCGCAAAATTAGGGTTTGAGAGAGGAGTTATTAGGATTTCAATTGTATCAACTAATATCCTTTAATGGCCTATAAGTTATTTTAGACTTCTTGTAGTATTAAATACATATTCTTGGATTAATGGACATGTTTGGATTCGAATAAATTGCAAGATAGGATTCAAGTTTGGCCTAGTATAATCTCCTAAAAGAGAAGAGAGTCATTCCCTCCCAACCCACTAAACCCACTGTCACGTCAATTTTTTTCTCTTCTTTTTCTTTATCTTTCTCAACCCACAACACATGGAAATCCTATCTTTCTCAACTCACTCAATTAAAAAAAATACAAAACAACGAAGGTACAGGTTTTAAAACACATTGTACAAGAGAAAATGAGAGAGAGAGAAAGTAGAGAGAGATGATGAAGTGAGTTAGTGAAACCACTTAAACAACCAGCTGAAACG